TATTTAAGTTAGAGATTTGCTGATCCTATTAAAAAAAAAAAAAAAACAAAACAAAACAAAAAAAAATCAAGCAGCTTCTTCACAACATTCCTGGGATCCCAAAGCAGGGGCTTAAATCCTTTGACTTCCTACAGAAGGAAAATATCCAAGTAATGCCCAAATTGTCTTTAAATAATGGAGGGGAGATAAAACAATTAAATCACTTAATTTCTGCAGTAGCAAAAAAAAACCCCCAAGCGGTGAGAGATGAAAATTTGGTTATTCGTGCCTATTTCATGTTCCTTGGGAATTGAGGCTGTGCAAGTCACTTTTGTCTCTGACAAAAATCCAGATGAATTTGGGAGTGGCACGAGTACAAATCCAACGGGAAGAAGCCAAATTGTACCTCACATGTTGTTTTATTTTATTTTTTTAATTTTTTTCCCCTCAACTCCCAGCCAGGCCTAAGTTCCCTGGTTTAACAGCTACATTTTGTTCCCAGATCCCTGAGAATAATGTGAACCATCACTCGTGTTCCTGCTGAACCTGCCAAGGACAGGCAGAGCGTCCCCACACCGGTGACATTTGGCAGCGTGCGGCCCCGGAGCGTTTTCAGTCGCTCCGACACAGAATTCTGAATTATTAAATATATTCCAGAGCCCTGACGAGGTTAACAAGGAATGAGGATGACAAAAAAAAGCACCTCCAAAATGCCCATCTCCATTTTTCCAACGGGGGTTGGTGTGTTTAATTGCAATATCTTTGGGATTGAAGCGTCCTTTGCAGGAAGATGCAGGATTTCTGCTCCAGCATCCCTCTCCTCCTCCGAGTGTCTGGCTCAGGCCAATTCCAAATCCCAGAGCGTGGCTCTTTTGCTGCCCCCACGGAAGTGGCTGGGATGGGGTTGGGAGGGGAGGAGGATCCCGAGTAAACATAGCTGCAAGGATGGGAGGTAACAGCATTCCTCTTCTTCTTAATCATAATTACGAAACGTTCGCCGTGGAAAATAGGGAAGGAGCCGCTGCTGTGGAGTTTGGAGCAGGGAAAAGCCGATGCTGGAGGGGTGCCGTGACACCCCACAACCCCGCAATGGCGCCTGGAAATGTGGGGTGACCCAGGCCAAGCCAACGCCCGGACCCCAGCGCCGTTCTCCCTCTTTTGTGACACATCCCGTGCGAAACCGGGGCTCCCGTGCGGAGCGGCTCCGGACCTGCCGCACCGCTTCCTTCTAAAAGCAGATTTTTTTTTAGGCAGAAATTTCCCTTTTATATTTTTTTTCCCCCTCCTGGTTTTTTTATTCTTTTGAATGGTATTTCTGCATGATAAACCCCAAGCACATCCCTGGTTTCCCAAATCCTCCCTGGCACTCGCGCTGTTCCCACTGAGAGCAGCGGGATCCCTGCACACAGCCCAGGTGTGCCTCACCTGGGCAGCTCCAAAACATCTTCCTAAGAAAACCTGAATTGAATTCCATTTTTTTTTTTTTTGATGATCAAACAATAATAGCAAAATCCTGCAGCTTTCCCACCAGGCCACATTGCAAAATCAGACACTGTACTTAAAAAAAAATCCCCCAAAATATTCGTTATAATTTTCTCACCAAACATCCAGAATAAAAAACCAAGGAATTTCAACTGTGCTGGATTTGTGATTCCCTCGTTAGAGATGTATTAATTTGTTACCCTAATGCAGGCCAAGCCCTAATCAAACTAATGGCAAAATGAAAAGCGAGGATTTAAATCCTTTAAGGGGACTTTGCTTGATTTGGTCAGGCAAAGATTGGAGATTTTTTTTTTTTATTTTTTTTTTTTCTGGGCCATGGGAATGGGCAATGATAAAAATTCCTCTTTTCTCTGATTCTGCTCCCACCCACACGCTATTCAAACAGCTACAGAGTGGGCAATCCAGAACAGATGCTCCCAAACGGAGGTAAAATTCCAGCCTTTAAATAGAAGGAGAAGAAACTGAACGGAATCAGGAAGATGTGGGCTTTGATTAACAGATAAAAACCAGAAATATGTCAAATGTGACAGACCCGGGGAATTCTTGGGGGAAAAGCTGCTTCAAAATCCGATCCCCAGCAATCATCTCTTCGTTTTATAGTTCCTCACACTTAAATGAGGATAAATTTCAGATAAATTTACCAGAGAAGCGATTGCAAACTCCTCCCGAAATTTTAGGGGATGTGAGAAAATGAATTTGATTTTGGCAACCGTCCTAAAAAAAGGGCAAACAAAGCAAGGAAAAAATAAAAAGCAACCCCCCACTTCAGCGCAGTGAATGTGCATTGTTCAATTGAAGTAACAGCTATTAAATCACTTTCCAAATACGATCTAAATTGGAGGCAACTCCAGGGGAGTTTGCTTCCCAGTCCCTCCAGTGTCCCCCAGTTGTCCCAGTGCGGGTCAGAGGCTCCAAGCCTTGGTTCAGTGCTCTGTGCCGAACACCTGCGAACATCAAACACAAACTCCTGCTCCTTTCCTGGGCTGACAAAAGCCTTTCATGTGAAAAATGCTCCCTGGGAATGTCACGGCTGGAGCTCAGGTTACATTCCTTTCTCCCTCGCAGCCCTCCCCGCTTTGGAACATGGGGAGAAGCCATGTTTGTGGAATTCGAGATTCAAAGGCAGCGGGGCTTTACTTTCTTTTCCCTCACACCTCGCAAATCACAACAGGGCATCACGGATTAGCTGAGGGAAAAGCCACGGCGATGACTTTAAGCAGGAATTATTCCCACACTTCCTAAAGTCCACTTAGTGTCACTTCCCTGCTTGGGATTACTTTTTTTTTTTTTTTTTTTAAATCTCTGTTTTCTCCCCTCTAGAAGAGAAGTTTGGGGTTAATGCAGACAACCTCAAGAAATCTGGTTTTCGAGAGGAATATTTAAAGGTCAGCTCAAACTTCAGAGGGACAACTTCCAGGAGGAAAAGCAGGGCTCACTGAAATTCCCCGTTAGCCATCTGCATAATTAGAATAACAGACTATGTGTGCCATTATTCACGGAGCTGCCTTTAATCCTGCCACAGAAAACATCTCCAGGTACTCTCCCAATTTGCCAAGCCCTGGCTCCTCACAAACAAACAATAGCCACCAACTCCATCCTCAGGCCGCTGGGGAAGCAGCCAGGGGAATGAACCCCACATTTTTTTATTTTTTGGGGGTGTGATAACCAAGGGATGGATATTGCAAGTAGAAAAATTCCCTGGATTTTCCCTTGCAGCCACAGCCTTTGGTGCCATTGTGCACAAAACCAGCAAGGCACGGCGCCCGCCGCTCCACCAAGATTCTCCTTCATCCTCCAGCACCAGCCACCAGCACGGGAATTCTCTTGGAATTCTGTCTGTGGCACGGTTCAGGTGTTGTTTTAAGTGGTCTTTATCTCCTCGTTCCTAACTTCTAGCAGCTCATTAAATCACCCTCTTGGCTACGTGAGGATGCGTCAAAAAATTCCTCCGGTTCTTTCAGCTTTGCGGGACAATAAAACACAATTTAATCTCTCCCTGCTCCGATTTGTCCTCCTGATCCAAATGACTCCGGAGATGAGGTTTAGGAGGAATTATTTAATATAACTCTGGAGTCATTTGCTGTCAGCCCAAGTGGTGGTTGCTGCATGGACTGGGCTCTGAGCATGACAAATTGATTTGTCTGGCACAACCACTCCAGTGAAAACAAATAGAGTGGAGATTTTAGATCCGGCCTCATCACTTCAAAAATTATGGCAGAAAAGGACAAAAAGTGGGATTCAAACCTGGGATAAAGTTATCCCAGCCCAACAGCAAAATTCTCCAAGTTGCTATCTGACAATACAAACAAGTTTGTGAAGATAAAACAGACCCAGGTTGTTATTTTGCGAGTCCAAATAGGAGAAAAGGCGCAAAATGAGTGTTTAGGTGGAGAGCGATCTGCACAAAGCAGACCAACTTCCAGGCAGAAATCCTGCTCTGGAAATAAAAAGCTAAACCATGTCCCAGAGAATTTACTAAAATACTGAATAAAGAGAAGAAGTGTCTCGAACCGAGCAAAAGCTGCTGCTGCAAGTCCCTTCAAGGAGGGGTTTTTTTCTGCGGATTTCCAGGGAAAATTGCCTCAATTCCCGAGGCAGAGCCGGGTCCAACGTGCCGGCCGCTGTGCTGGCATGTGCCATGGTGTGGGAATTGAAAGAATTGCGACTCCCTACCTGTACACGGAAAAGCAAACGTGCAGCGGGGATCTTTGGGAGCTCTCGTTTGTCAGGCACATAAAAGCCCCTCTATAAACTTGAGTTGCCAGACAATTATTGCTCACACATGTTGTACCGCAGAGAGCCCCGCCACCGCTTTTGTCATCCCGCTCCTCGTTTTAGGGAGATGCCCATCAGCCCCAGCACAGCCAAAGGAACGAATCAGGCACTGAAATTTCAGAAAACTCTTCCAAAACACTCTCCTGTTTAAAAACATCATTGCCTGGCTTTAAGCAGCAAGAGAAACTCACTTGGATATTTCCATTTCCAAAAAAGCATAATCCTAAAGACTTTCTTTTCCTGCTGTTTATTCTCGGATATTTGGTGTATTTATTTAACTGCAACTGCCTTCGATTCTGCTTCAATTCTAATGCACAAAATTCATTTGCACGCAAGAGGTTTTGACTATCGTCCCTGACAGACAAAGAGAGGCTTTGGAATTGGAAAGGAAAAATTCTCCAAGGCTCAAATTGCTAAAGGAAAAAGATAAACCTACTGTAAAACTAGAACAATTTTAAGCAATGATTAAACAGAGGAGAAGTCCAGGGGTTTTTAAAAAATCAGAAATGTGCGGCAACGCTCTAAAAAACCTCCCAGGCTTGTGGAAATAACAATAATAATAATAATAATAATAATAATAATAAAAATCAGAATAAGAATAACCAGCGCTTAGGAATAATTCCGCTGCAATCCGAACGAATCTGCTCCCCACAAGAGATTAAAGCACCACAACAAAGGTAATGCCCATGGATAAATAAATCCCAACATTTGCACTACGGATGGAACAAAAAAACGCTACATACTTGAGCCAGTAAAATGTCCACTTGCCAAGGAAGTTGGTCCATTTTTCCCGCTGCTCACAGGAGGTGAAAACATCTAAAAACAAAAAAAAAAAAAAAAAAAAAAAAACAAAAAAAAAAAAAAAAAAAAAAAAAACAAAGAGGCATTACTATTGCAAAACAAGCAATCCCCGAGTCGGCTGGCGGTGCAAAGTTGCTGGCGCATTCCTTCGGAGTTTCTCTCCCCCGAACCATCAGCCCTGCAAAGGCTGAGTGCAGATTGTCGCAGCCCCCAGCCTCCAGCATCCCCCTCTCGGATGAGGCTCATTAGCTGCCCAAACAATGTGCCCTTGCTGGAGCCTTTGAGCCGTGCCAGTGGGCAGCAATGTTCTCCCAGCTGGGGAAAGCGGGGTTCGCTTCCCCTCTCGCCACAAAAAGTTGGGATTGGGTCGCAACCTTGGTCATCAACGTCGCAACGTCCATTTCCATCCCGCTCCAGGATTTGCCTGGCATGTGGGAACCCAAATAATAATAATGCAAAGTGCCACCTGCCCTAAATTCTCATTCCGTCTCTCCCACCGAGCAATTGGAAGCCAGGCTCGCTCCTCGCCCCCTCTCCCTCCCTCTCGCACTCCTCTCTCTCTCTTCCCAGCATTTATTTCGACCCTAATTGGTTTCTCCCTTCTCCGACGTGTCTAGTGGATAATACGCACCTTCCCTGAGTCAGAGCCTGCAAAAAGCCAAGGAACAAATGGGAAAAGTGCACCAACAAGCAGAGAGGGGGCTGCGAAGCTGCCTCAGGCTACGATTCCTGGCCAAACTTCCCCAAGCCATCCCTCAGAAGCCGAGGCTGGAGCAGCAGCACCAGCCTGGAGCGCACGGGGGAAAGGGCGGGGGGTGGGGGGGCTCGCTGGGCTTTGGGAGCAGACCCTGCCTCTCGCAGCGAAAGCTCTTCCCTAAAATAAATAACGGAGTGGATAGAGAGATATTCCTGACATATTGGGGGGAAGGGAGGGGATGGAAGGGGAGAGGAAGGAAGGGGCTGGAGGGGGAGGGGGAGCCTGACAAAACTAGACAAGTGCACGCGTCCGGCGCAACGTTCGGCCTCCAAAGCAGCCCAGGGGGACGAAAATGCCACTTTTCCTTCCAAAATCACCCCCACATCCCGGCTAGGGCGGCTAGGAAAAGGTGGGAGCAGTTTTAACGCCAGCAGAAGCCAGAGGAGATTTCAGGGCAAACTTTAAACTGAGACAGTCGTGGATTTCTTTGCACTTTCCGTGTGCCAAAATCGAAACAAGGGAAGAACCGAAAGGAGAATATCAGCGACTCATTAGCAATTAATCAGTTCGTGTGCCAACAAGGCTTGAAAATCTCAAGCACAATAAAAGTGCAATATTGGTATGATGGAACGATGAGAAATGGTCAGTTTTTGGGGCGTTTCTTTTTGGCAGGAATTATTTGAGCCGTCCGAGACATGAAACCAAGCTGCGAACGCGCCTGCATCTCCCATCACACACGATCAGAAAGACTAAAAATACTCAGTTTTGATTTTTTTTTTTTTTAAAGCGAAAAAATTATTGACCATGCTTCTAGCTGCTGATTAAAAATTGCCCAATGTACTTAGAGCACAGTTTGGGGTTGGTTTTGTTGCTTTAGGGTTTTTTTTTTTGGCTGGCTTTTTTTTTTTTTTTTTTGTTAACAGAGCAGCTAGAAGAATTTTTTTTTTTTTTTTTTACAGCTGTTGCTAATTTCCACCGTTGTTTCTTACCGCACTGAAATCCAGTAAATCACTCAGTTCTTTGTCCGTCCCTAAGGCAGCCATTCGCTGTTGGTGATGCATTTTAGCAAAATCACACAAACCTAGAAACATGGAAATAACCGCAATCAGAAATCCCGAGCCTTGCAGGAAACACAGTCGGATTTTGCTTTTTCAAGGGGGGTCGGGGACGGGTGATTGAGAAGAAGAAGGGAGGAAAAAAAAAAGATGGAGGGGGCAGCAAAAAAAAAAAAAAAAAAAAAAAAAAAAAAAAAAACCAAAAAAAAAAAAAGAAAAAAAAAAAAAAAAAAAGCGATATTGTATTTCCAAAGAGGCGAGCCAAACCCGGGAACATCCACTCTTAAACCCAAATCCGGAGGAGAAAAAAAAAGGCAAAGCCTCGCTCCCGGAGCATCATTTATGCAACAGGAGGTTCAGCGAGGAATGAATGAGGATCCCAGAGAAGAAACTACAGCCATCCGCTCCCAACTTTTTCCCTTCTCCTTCTTCCACGCAAAGTAACGTTTGGAGGCAGAAACGGCAAAGAGCGAGGAGGAAG